AAACTGCCCACAAGATTAACCCCACGTACGCGCATCGCAGTGCGCGACGTAACCATAGCGACATCTACAATAACAATAAACAATTACAATAACTAACGCCCTCTAAAGGCTAGGTAATGTAAATAACGATTTCGTTACAGTATACTTAACCATACCATCTTTGCCGGAACTCTTCAAATGTTTAATTTGATGTTTTGGGGCAATATATCCCCCCCCCCCCACAAGTTCTTGTGAGTTTCCCTCACCATCACCTCTCCACATTGTCTGCACTGCCTGTCCTGTTTGGTTTTGGTGTATGTGCATCATGTTTTCCCTTAGTACTTACCCATACCATCTTTGCCGGAACTCTTCATATGTTTCATTTGATGTTTTAGGGCAATATATTGCCTCGCCCCCCACAAGTTCTTGTGAGTTTCCCTCACCATCACCTCTCCACATTTTCTACACTGCTTGTCCTGCTTGATTTTAGTGTAGGTACGTCTAGTTTTCCCATCAGCTTCCTCCTCTGCCTTGATGCGTCGGTACCGAGCTGTTTGGTAATGCATGGGGGGCTGGCGGGAGGCAGGTACTGGAATCTTCGGGACTGCATAAGAGCAGGAATGGTGAGAGTTAGGGTTGGTGGAGGCTGGAAGGACCTGTGGTGCAGGGGCAGGGGCAATGGGCTGCTGTATCTTCCTCTTCTTTGGTGTCTTTGGTGAGCATGAAGGGGAGGTTAGAGTTGCTGATTGATTGATTGGAAGCGGAAAGGCGGAAGCCAACGGAGCATCCAGCAGACACAGCCCTTGTTGCAGCATCCTGCTGTTTTCTCTGCGTAGCTTGTTGTTGTACCTGAAAATAGAGAAATCTGTGGTTGGAAATGATGTAGGCTTGAGTCGGTACGGTCGATCACACCAGGACCCGACCGTTGCCGTCGGGTCCCGGTTTCGTTTTTTGAGAACCGGCGCTCCGAAAAAAATAATGAAATATGTAAGAAATTGCAGTTTTGCACACCACTAAAATCAATCCACCCTAAAACTTAAGTATTTAATTGTTACCAATCGTATTCTAGCTCATCCAGAATCAATCCGAACTGCTGATATAAATATGGGTTGCAAAGCAGTTCCCCCCATGGGGTTGTTGTTGCCAGCTGCTAGCTAGCTACTGTACTGGCCGGGTCTCTCGGCAGAATTAATAAATCAGGTTGAAAGAAACATTAATGTTTGAATAATAAAACGACTTTCTAAAAAGTACTTCTTTACAACATACCGATCGTATAATTTTTAAAAGACAAAATATATATTTTTTCTTTGATTTTGAACACCGTATGCTTCTTTTAAAAGCTGAAAATGACTTGGTAATCACAAGAAGTATCGATACGGATAGCTGTTGCAATGCAAGTTCAGACTAGTCTCGGAAAAATGCGCAGTGCTCCTTGTTAGCTATAATGCGTGCCAGAACGAACCCAAACAAAGACGTGATCGTAACGAGAAAAAAAATCATTAAAAACTACTAGAGCACAATTGGAAAGACAACTACTCAAAATTATCGTAAGCAGATACATAACTTGGAGGAAGAATACAATAGTTGTCCAAGAAAAGCCACATAAATAGTGATATTTAATGAGTTACTATAGGTACAATCATTATCGGAAGGGCCTGCTGCAATATATCTAAACGTGTTTAAATTGAACACGAGGCAAATACCGCCCTCTACGGTAAAAAGCAGTATAACAAAGGATTCGAGTATTTGCAGCAGGCCCCTTGCGATAAAAATGTACCCAGTTACTCCTCGATTATCACAATTTCTGTGGCATTTCTTGGACGATTATTGAATTCTTTGTCCAAGTTATGTATCTCATTATGGTAATTTTGAGCAGTATATCTTTCCAATTGTTTTTAATGATTTTTTTCTCGTTACGATCAAGTCTTTGTTTGGGTTCGTTCTGGCACGCATTACAGATAACGAGGAGCACTGCGCATTTTTCCGAGACTAGTCTGAACTTGCCTTGCAACAGCTATTCGTATCGAAACTTCTTGTGATTACCAAGTAATTTTCAGCTTTTAAAAAAAAGCATGCGATGTTTAAAATAAGAGATAAATATTTATTTTTGTCTTCAAAATATTATATGATCGGTATATTGTACAGAAGAATTTTTTAGAAAGCCGTTTTATTATTCTAACATTCATATTTTTTGACCAGATTTATTCAACCTGCATAAATCAAAATGGCGGCTCGATTGTAGTCTTTATATTTTTGCTCGAGTTTTTTTACTTTTAGAGGCACGATAATGGCACTAAACATCGCCAATCATGGATGAATATAATGTCAAATGGAAGAATATACCAATCTGTGCCGAGGTATGCATGTGTTGATTTATTTGACTTATAAAAATGTCACTTTTAAGGGACATACTGATGATATGCGCTTTTTATAGAGGCAAGTGACAAATCCTGCGAGCTGATTTCGGGACACCGGGTCCCGACCGGTGCAAGGCCGTCGGGACCCGGTTTATGAAAATCCCGACATGACTCAGGCCTAAAATGATGTAATTGATCAATGTAATTAATGTGATTGCTTAATTAATTTGATAATGCTTCAAAATGTGTCTGAAAAACAATAAACAAAGAAATATACAAGAAATAAAAAACCAATAAAAATACATAAGAATACAATATTCACAGTGGTTTTCACGGTGATCCAGCGCTCTGTCTCGAAAACCTGGGGGGGGGGGGTAGCCCCCCCCCCCCCCCCCCAGTATTATACAAACCTCAAATCAGCCCAGTGCAGTTAATAAAGGTAGTGTTGAGTATCTCTATTGAAACATTAAATGCACAATTTTGTATGAAAAATGGCTATAACCAATGAATTTTTTTTAAATAGCATCCTCTTGAGTTGTAACGGCTCTTTTTAATGATAACAGGGGTTTTACTTAGTCGTTTGTAATTGTGTATACTTTTCAAGCATGGTGAAGTTATAACTATTACTTTGTACCATAATGGTGCAGGTTTTGGTTACTAGGGTTAAGTTGACCAATACTCAACTATCCCTTTAATGTGATAATTTACAAGATGACAGAAACACTCTCCACAACCACAATACAAATTATCCCTTGGACTTACCATGCCTGCAGAACCCGCTGAATAATGAATGGCAGCATGTTCTCTGTTTTGTCCATTACAGTAGTATTTTTCAGGTGTTGTTTGGACCTTGATGTAAGCCTCTACGATTCTACTCCACCGGGTCTTGTTCTGGCCTTTCTGCTTCGTGCAGGTCATGAACTTATCACACAGCCGGGCATTGTTCAGGATAGTCGTTTGGACCTTGATGTAGGCCTCTATAATACGACTCCACCAGGTCTTGTTCTTGCCTTCCTGCTTTGTGGAGGTCCTGAACCTGTCGCACAGCCGTTGAACCGGTGCCTCAACCTACCTGTTGCAGTCTGGTTTGGCAGCAGTTATCGAGTCGGGTGCTCTGTTACTACTGTAAAACACATTCAAAGAAACTTAAAGATTTAGGAGATGTGTGCAACAAAGCAAAACTCTTTTATCACTTGTTGGATGGATGTCTCTGGCCAAATGAGTATGGTTAACAGTTGTGGAGGTTTTCAATATTCTTAGACAATTTGAATGCATTATTCATAAAAGTCAGAACTAATGACCACCTAATGTGTATGATCTCACAATTTAATGTTGCTTTAAAAGTATAAGAAGTGTAGTAGCAAACTGTATGTCATTAACTTATGAAATTTGGAATGTTTAACAGTCTTAAACAGGTTTTTGTTGACCTCTTATGTGCATTTATTTTTAACCAAAAAGAAGGTGAAATGGTTTTAAATGATTTACCATTCCAAAGACTGCACTCCTGGATATTTGGCAGTCTTTGGGGCTCGGAACTTATGATAACCCCAAGGATTGTGGCGCTCCTGGAAGTTGGTCCGGCGCTTGTCGTTCGCAGACAGAGCACCCCACAGGCGAATGATGTCCGCTAACTGGTGCTGTGTATGTGTCAGGTTCCCATTCACCATGGTTATCAGGATCTCTGCTAGGTTCTGTACGGCTGCATAACCTGGCAGGTTGTTGGGTCCAACAGAGTCCTGTAACAACAAATGTATGATATCTAACACATCTGAGTACCATCAATACTACTTATACAACTACTTATCCGAACCTCTGTTGTAAGCACAAAGAAGTTTTCAAAGAGTTTAAATGTTAGCTGCATGTTCAAAGTCAGCTGTCTATGCCCCACCCCTTCTCCTTTCATTATGTAGCGAGGTAGAGATCTTCCCTTTAAACCATGTGAACCCCCCCCCCCTCTCTCTCTCTCTCCTATTTCATCATCCTCTCTACTGGAGGTCAGCAAACTATATTAAGATAATACCTGGTCATTTCCACTAGTACAAATATTCCAAGAATAGGATCTTTGTAGATAATGAGAATGCCCCTTATTTTATTGGAGTTTAGGTCCATTCACATGAATGAAAGGTTAGGATTAAATCTGTTCACATAAAAAAGTAACATGACCTATAGTAGACAAAGCCCCTATTCTACCAGTGTTACCAGAACTTAAGACTTAGATTTATTTACCCCAGGATTAGAAACACAGAGAGAGGAAGTTAATGTTGACAATCTTTGATTATAAGCAAACATATAAATTGTCCCTCTGCCTCTGCGGATACCAGTTTGGGCTGGTGGACAAAGCATTTGTTTTCTTGGAAAAGGAGTTGAGTCAGCGCAGGAAGTATAGCAGGGATATACCCAACTGTCCAATGAGCCTTTGTATTTTCTACTCCTTCCCCTTATTTTTACTTTCGCCCAATCAGAATGTTAGGATAAATTGTTCAGGACGACTGTTCGAGTGTCCATCAAGTGTTATGCCCGCCCAGTCACCTACTGTAATTATAATGAAATAGTGGAGTTTAGTGTAACAGTATTTTGTAGGAGGAGATCTCGGAATCGAGATTGTGAATATGTAATGAGGTATAAGAACCCCCTCCCTTGCATGCAATCCTCACTTGGAAACCCCCTCACTTGGAAACCCCCACCTAGCTGAACCCCTCTCTTGGATCCCCCTCTCCCCACCTGGAACCCCAACTTCTTCTAATTTCATCTACTAATAACTATACGCCCTGCAAGCAAGTTTGGACTTTGGAGAAGTGAAGCAACAGTTTTGGTTGACCTTCTACGATATATTCTAACAAAGAGCAAGGGTGTCAGGTTGTGACCATTTCATGATCAGCAGAAAGCAACAGTTAAATTGAAACAAAGCTTTAGAGTTTAAGCTAAAGGACTTTCACACAACCATCAAAGTGTCCAAGTAAACTTCCAGTTTCGTCCAAGTCAACTTCCAGTTTCGTCCAAATCAACTTCCAGTTTCGTCCAAGTCAACTCTCAGTTTTGTCCGAGTCAACTCTCAGTTTCGTCCAAGTCACGTTCCCGTTCCCGTACCCCCCAAGTCACCAAGTCACGTCCAGCTTCGTTCCCGCCAAGTCCAGTTCCCGCCAAGTCACGCCCAAGTTCGTCCCAGTCGCGTCTCGTCCCAAGTCAAGTCGCGAACAAGAAATAAGCAAGTAACTACCGCGTGCATGTAAGTCATCTTCCCCTTTAACATTTCTTCTAATATCCTCCCTTTCCCTTCCCCTAACGTACCTGAAAGAGTTGATGGTGATATTGTGTGTTTTATGTGAACGAATCTAAATATTTCGTCTGTAGTTTGATGATTATTTGAAGAAAGTGTAAATGATTTTAATAAAGTAAATAATTAAGTGACACATAAATCAGCCTGTGTCCGTGCCTTTTGTTGTCTTTAAAGAATCCTGTAGTTAATCTAACTTAAAGGTGGTCCCATTTGTGTAATTATCTGCCCGGGACGGAGTGGTTGCCCCACGGACCCATCACTCCCTCCTCATGCATCATGGTTTGCCCCTTTAATTGGCACTCCAAAGGTGTTTGGGTTAGAATTATATACTTATTTATATTTTTGTTCTTGAACAGAAAACAAATCTGAAATGCATGGTTGCTTACATCAACAGTATCAGTGTTGGTTGGCAGGTCCTGCGTGTCTGTTGGGGGATCCATGGGACCAGTATCAGTATTGGTTGAGGGATCCATGGGAGGTGCCGCAGTCTGGGGTTTGGTTAGGAGGTCCATGTCAATGAGAGGTGCCGCAGTGTAGAGCTCACCACTCACGTCTTCCCCTACCACCTCTGCTTCGGCAGTCAGCATGTCAGGATGGATGTCCTCCCTATTTTGGAAGGCCTCTAACATTGATGAGAAAGTTGACCTGCCCGTTTGGCCCAGCAAGTACTCCAGTCCAATTTTTTCTCCTATAAATATAAGTAAAAAATAATAAAAAAGTTATACACCGAAAAATTCTCCTTGTGCAGGATGTACTGATCAACCAGGTTTACACCCTACTCTTTTCAAATAGTTTCCTAGGTTCTTTAGCGTGCATGAGGTGTGATTGTCTCATACACGGGACCTCCATTCATCTTCCTATCCGAGGGACTAGCTTCTGCAGACTTAGTAATGAGACAAATCACAAGAACTTCCTATCCCTCATGGGTCGGAAGGCTGCCGTCTTTCTTGAGTTCTGCATACCGCCGTTGCCTGAACTCTTCAAATGTTTCATTTGATGTTTTGGGGCAATATATCGCCCCCCACAAGTTCTTGTGAGTTTCCCTCACCATCACCTCTTCAGATTTTGTACACTGCCTGTCATGTTTGGTTTTCGTGTACGTGCGTCGTGTTTTCCCTTCTTACTTAACCATACCATCTTTGCCGGAACTCTTCAAATGTTTCATTTAATGTTTTGGGGCAATATATCGCCCCCACAAGTTCTTGTGAGTTTCCCTCACCATCACCTCTCCACATTTTTTGCACTGCCTGTCCTGTTTGGTTTTGGTGTACGTGTATCATGTTTTCCCTTAGTACTTTACCATACCATCTTTGCCGGAACTCTTCAAATGTTTCATTTGATGTTTTGGGGCAATATATCGCCCCCCCCCCCACAAGTTCTTGTGAGTTTCCCTCACCAACACTTCTCCACATTTTCTACACTGCCTGTCCTACTTGATTTTAGTGTAGGTTCGTCTAGTTTTCCCTTCGGCTTCCTCCTCTGCCTTGATGTGGCGGTACCGAGCTGTTTGGTAATGCATGGGGGGCTGGCGGGAGGCAGGTACTGGAACCTTAGGGACTGCAAAAGAGCAGGAATGGTGAGGGTTAGGGTTGGTGGAGGCTGGAAGGACCTGTGGTGCAGGGGCAGAGGCAATGGGCTGTTGTATCTTCCTCTTCTTTGGTGTCTTTGGTGAGCATGAAGGGAAGGTTAGAGTTGCTGATTGATTTATTGGAAGCGGAAAGGCGGAAGCCTACGCAGCTTGTGGAAGAAGCAGAAAGGCAGAAGTCAACGGAGCATCTGGCAGACTGTTTCCAGGAATTCCAGAGCAATCATTCGTTTTCATTGTAGTTTCGCTGGCTTAACAGAATGGTAGAGTTAACAGATAATTAAGTTAGTATCAATGTTATCAAATTCCAAGATCATATCAGCGTATTTGTAGCGTTACGTTACCGAATGTGACGAGTAAGTCTTCAGTTTGAAACACGACGTTGAAGTAACTAGTTGGGACTACTGCGGAGCATATAGTAGTCTGTCATCTATCCAGGCTTCACAAATTGTAGATCAAAAGCATATAAGTGATAGAAATTTGTCCTTCTCAGAGTTCCTCACGAGACATATATCACTACTACGGAACATAGGCTTCACAAATATTGTAGATCAAATTATAAATCAAAAGCATATAGGTGTCCTTCTCGAACTACTCTAGCCATTTCTGACCGAAGGTCTAAGTCATTGTCCTCATTGGCTACATTAAACGGTTCGAGAGATCTCCTCAAATTTGTGCGCAAATCATCTGCCGTTCGTGATCGATGATTGACCTACGACTGTCAATGATTACCCTGATGATCCAGAAGCCGTGGGTTGGAGCAAGGGCTGGAGCGATGAATTTAATTTAATTAAATTGAATACGTCTCCAACTTGATGGCCTGTAGAGAACTAGCTGGCCTAATTAGACTCTGGAGGGAAGTAGCTGCTATTACTGTCTCAGAGATCTGTCGCTTTATTCCGTTGTGATGTGCAAGATGTACTGGTCAACCGGGTTTACACCCTACTCTTTTTCGTGAAGTTTCCTAGGTTCTTTAGGGTGCATGAGGTGTGACCGTCTCATATACGTGACCTCCATTCATCGTCCTATCCGAGGGACTAGCTTCTGCAGACATAGTAATGAGACAAATCACAAGAACTTACTGTCCCTCATGGGTTGGCAGGCTGCCGTCTTTCTTGAGTTCTGCATACCGCCGTTGCCTGAACTCTTCAAATGTTTCATTTGATGTTTTGGGGCAATATATCGCCCCCCACAAGTTCTTGTGAGTTTCCCTCACCATCACGTCTCCACATTTTCTACACTGTCTGTCATGTTTGGTTTTCATGTACGTGCATCGTGTTTTCCCATCATACTTCAGCATACCGTCTTTGCCGGAACTCTTCATATGTTCATTTGAGCTTGTTGGACAATATATCGCCCCCACAAGTTCTTGTGAGTTTCCCTCACCATCACCTCTCCACATATTCTACACTGCCTGTCCTGTTTGATTTTAGTGTAAGTTCGTCTAGTTTTCCCATCAGCTTCCTCCTCTGACTTGATGCGGCGCGGTACCGAGCTGTTTGGTAATGCATGGGGGGCTGGCGGGAGGCAGGTACTGGAATCTTAGGGACTGCATTAGTGAGAGCAGGAAGCTAGGGGTATCTACCGCGAGGGTTCTTATCGTATGGGTGGAGGCTGGAAATGATACTATTGACCAATTAAATTAATGTGATTGCTTAATTAATTTCATTATGCTTCAAAAGTGTCTGAAAAAAAACAATAAAAAAGAAATACACAAGAAATCAAAAACCAATAGAATAAATAAGAATCTAATTTAAATATCATTTTTGTAGATAATAGTTAGAATAGTTACAATATTCACAGTGGTTTTCACGGTGATCCAGCGCTCTGTCTCCAAAACCTGGGGGGGGGGGTAGCCTCCAAGCCCCCCTCCCCCCCCCCCCCCCTAGTATTTACAAACCTCATATTAGCCCAGTGCAGTTAGTGTTAAAGGTAGTGTTGAGTATCTCTATTGAAACATTAAATGCATAATTTTGTATGGAAAAAGGCTATAACCAATGACTTTTTTTAAATAGCATCTTCTTGAGTTGTAACGGCTCTTTTTTTAATGATAACAGGGGTTTTACTTAGTCGTTTGTAATTGTGTATATTTTTCCAGCATGGTGAAGTTATAATTATTACTCTGTACCGTAATGGTGCAGGTTTTGGTTACTAGGGTTAAAGTTTGACCAATACTCAACTATCCCTTTAATGTGATAATTTACAAGATGACAGAAACACTCTCCACGACCACAATATGAATCATCCCTCGGACTTACCATGCCTGCAGAACCCGCTGAATAATGAATGGCAGCATGATCTGTGTTTTGTCCATTACAGTGGTATTTTTCAGGATAGTCGTTTGGACCTTGATATTAGCCTCTACGAATCTACTCCACCGGGTCTTGTTGTTGCCATCCTGCTTTGTGGAGGTCCTGAACCTGTCGCACAGCCGTTGAACCAGTGCCTCAACATACCTGTTGCAGTCTGGTTTGGCAGCAGTTATAGAGTCAGGTGCTCTGATGTGTGTTTTGTCCATTACAATGTCATTTTTCATGATTGTCGTTTGGACCTTCGTATATGCCTCTACGATCCTACTCCACCGGGTCTTGTTGTTGCCATCCTGCTTTGTGGAAGTCCTGAATCTGTCGCACAGCCGTTGAACCAGTGCCTCAACATACCTGTTGCAGTCTGGTTTGGCAGCAGTTATAGAGTCGGGTGCTCTGATGTGTGTTTTGTCAATTACAGTGGTATTTTTCAGGATAGTCGTTTGGACCTTGATATTAGCCTCTACGAATCTACTCCACCGGGTCTTGTTGTTGCCATCCTGCTTTGTGGAGGTCCTGAACCTGTCGCACAGCCGTTGAACCAGTGCACAGTGGGCCAGGAAGGAACCAAAGTGCGCCAAAACTCATGTTTGGGGACTTGTTTTTTATAAATCCAGAGGAAATGTTTGGATTTCCAGGGATTTTCGCTTAAATTTTATTACCAACATTTTCTCTGATGTCTAAGCTTTAAGTTGATACCAGATTTGGCTGCCCGATTCTGCCCGTTATTATGCTAGAGCCGTTTCCCTTGCAACATTGCCCCGAAAAATGTGTTTATTTTGGTCCGCGGTGTCAGAACAAGTGTTACGCGCCCCCTCGCGCCGTGATTTATGACCATGAATCCTTCATGATTCAGCTGCGGACCCCAAAAACCCACATTTTTCGGGGCAATGTGGCAAGAAAATCGGCTCTAACATAACAACGGGCAAGATCGGGCAGCCAAATTTGGTATCAACTTGAAGCTTAGACATCAGATAAAATGGTGGTATTAAAATTTAAGCGGTACACCGTGGAGATCTAAACATTTCTTCTGGATTTATAAAAAACATGGATAATTAGTCCATTTTTCAGTGAATTACCCAATATATCATGAAGATTGTGTTTCTATTAATTTTGACCCATTCATTCAACGAAATGAACTATCATGAATATGTGAGAGCAATTTCAAATCAATAACTTAAAAACTTCATGTTGAATTAAAAGATTTTTTTAAAAAGTCACTTTTGCACTAAAACTGTGAATATGTAGGATTCTGCTGTTTGAAGTAGTAAATCTATACCCTTATTGTGCATACCGGAATTAAATATTTCACTGAGGTACTCCTCTATGTATTACCTTTCAACTGGGCAAGAAAAAAAATGAAAAAAATAAATCACCCAAATTTAGTTTTGGCGCACTTTGGTTCCTCCCTGGCCCACTGTGCAGTGCCTCAACACACCTGTTGCAGTCTGGTTTGGCAGTAGTTATAGAGTCAGGTGCTCTGATGTGTGTTTTGTCCATTACAATGTCATTTTTCATGATTGTCGTTTGGACCTTCGTATATGCCTCTACGATCCTACTCCACAGGGTCTTGTTGTTGCCATCCTGCTTTGTGGAAGTCCTGAATCTGTCGCACAGCCGTTGAACCAGTGCCTCAACATACCTGTTGCAGTCTGGTTTGGCAGCAGTTATAGAGTCAGGTGCTCTGATGTGTGTTTTGTCAATTACAATGTCATTTTTCATGATTGTCGTTTGGACCTTCGAATATGCCTCTACGATTCTACTCCACCGGGTCTTGTTGTTGCCATCCTGCTTTGTGGAAGTCCTGAATCTGTCGCACAGCCGTTGAACCAGTGCCTCAACATACCTGTTGCAGTCTGGTTTGGCAGCAGTTATAGAGTCGGGTGCTCTGATGTGTGTTTTGTCCATTACAATGTCATTTTTCATGATTGTCGTTTGGACCTTCGTATATGCCTCTATGATTCTACTCCACCGGGTCTTGTTGTTGCCATCCTGCTTTGTGGAGGTCCTGAACCTGTCGCACAGCCGTTGAACCAGTGCCTCAACATACCTGTTGCAGTCTGGTTTGGCAGCAGTTATAGAGTCGGGTACTCTGATGTGTGTTTTGTCCATTACAATGTCATTTTTCATGATTGTCGTTTGGACCTTCGTATATGCCTCTACGATCCTACTCCACCGGGTCTTGTTGTTGCCATCCTGCTTTGTGGAAGTCCTGAATCTGTCGCACAGCCGTTGAACCAGTGCCTCAACATACCTGTTGCAGTCTGGTTTGGCAGCAGTTATCGAGTCAGGTGCTCTGTTACTACTGTAAAACACATAAAAAGAAACTTAAAGATTTAGGAGATGTGTGCAACAAAGCAAAACTCTTTTATCACTTGTTGGATGGATGTCCCCGGCCGAATGAGTATGGTTAACAGTTGTTGAGGTTTTCAATATTCTTAGAAAATTTTAATGCATTATTCATAAAAGTCAGAACTAATGACCACCTAATGTGTATGATCTCACAATTTAATGTTGCTTTAAAAGTATAAGAAGTGTAGTAGCAAACTGTATGTTATTAACTTATGAAATTTGGAATGTTTAAAAGTCTTAAACAGGTTTTTGTTGACCTCTTATGTGCATTTATTTTTAACCAAAAAGAAGGTGAAATGGTTTTAAATGATTTACCATTCCAAAGACTGCACTCCTGGATATTTGGCAGTCTTTGGGGCTCGGAACTTATGATAACCCCAAGGATTGTGGCGCTCCTGGAAGTTGGTCCGGCGCTTGTCGTTCGCAGACAGAGCACCCCACAGGCGAATGATGTCCGCTAACTGGTGCTGTGTATGTGTCAGGTTCCCATTCACCATGGTTATCAGGATCTCTGCTAGGTTCTGTACGGCTGCATAACCTGGCAGGTTGTTGGGTCCAACAGAGTCCTGTAACAACAAATGTATGATATCTAACACATCTGAGTACCATCAATACTACTTATACAACTACTTATCCGAACCTCTGTTGTAAGCACAAAGAAGTTTTCAAAGAGTTTAAATGTTAGCTGCATGTTCAAAGTCAGCTGTCTATGCCCCACCCCTTCTCCTTTCATTATGTAGCGAGGTAGAGATCTTCCCTTTAAACCATGTGAACCCCCCCCCCCCCCCTCTCTCTCTCTCTCCTATTTCATCATCCTCTCTACTGGAGGTCAGCAAACTATATTAAGATAATACCTGGTCATTTCCACTAGTACAAATATTCCAAGAATAGGATCTTTGTAGATAATGAGAATGCCCCTTATTTTATTGGAGTTTAGGTCCATTCACATGAATGAAAGGTTAGGATTAAATCTGTTCACATAAAAAAGTAACATGACCTATAGTAGACAAAGCCCCTATTCTACCAGTGTTACCAGAACTTAAGACTTAGAATTATTTACCCCAGGATTAGAAACACAGAGAGAGGAAGTTAATGTTGACAATCTTTGATTATAAGCAAACATATAAATTGTCCCTCTGCCTCTGCGGATACCAGTTTGGGCTGGTGGACAAAGCATTTGTTTTCTTGGAAAAGGAGTTGAGTCAGCGCAGGAAGTATAGCAGGGATATACCCAACTGTCCAATGAGCCTTTGTATTTTCTACTCCTTCCCCTTATTTTTACTTTCGCCCAATCAGAATGTTAGGATAAATTGTTCAGGACGACTGTTCGAGTGTCCATCAAGTGTTATGCCCGCCCAGTCACCTACTGTAATTATAATGAAATAGTGGAGTTTAGTGTAACAGTATTTTGTAGGAGGAGATCTCGGAATCGAGATTGTGAATATGTAATGAGGTATAAGAACCCCCTCCCTTGCATGCAATCCTCACTTGGAAACCCCCTCACTTGGAAACCCCCACCTAGCTGAACCCCTCTCTTGGATCCCCCTCTCCCCACCTGGAACCCCAACTTCTTCTAATTTCATCTACTAATAACTATACGCCCTGCAAGCAAGTTTGGACTTTGGAGAAGTGAAGCAACAGTTTTGGTTGACCTTCTACGATATATTCTAACAAAGAGCAAGGGTGTCAGGTTGTGACCATTTCATGATCAGCAGAAAGCAACAGTTAAATTGAAACAAAGCTTTAGAGTTTAAGCTAAAGGACTTTCACACAACCATCAAAGTGTCCAAGTAAACTTCCAGTTTCGTCCAAGTCAACTTCCAGTTTCGTCCAAATCAACTTCCAGTTTCGTCCAAGTCAACTCTCAGTTTTGTCCGAGTCAACTCTCAGTTTCGTCCAAGTCACGTTCCCGTTCCCGTACCCCCCAAGTCACCAAGTCACGTCCAGCTTCGTTCCCGCCAAGTCCAGTTCCCGCCAAGTCACGCCCAAGTTCGTCCCAGTCGCGTCTCGTCCCAAGTCAAGTCGCGAACAAGAAATAAGCAAGTAACTACCGCGTGCATGTAAGTCATCTTCCCCTTTAACATTTCTTCTAATATCCTCCCTTTCCCTTCCCCTAACGTACCTGAAAGAGTTGATGGTGATATTGTGTGTTTTATGTGAACGAATCTAAATATTTCGTCTGTAGTTTGATGATTATTTGAAGAAAGTGTAAATGATTTTAATAAAGTAAATAATTAAGTGACACATAAATCAGCCTGTGTCCGTGCCTTTTGTTGTCTTTAAAGAATCCTGTAGTTAATCTAACTTAAAGGTGGTCCCATTTGTGTAATTATCTGCCCGGGACGGAGTGGTTGCCCCACGGACCCATCACTCCCTCCTCATGCATCATGGTTTGCCCCTTTAATTGGCACTCCAAAGGTGTTTGGGTTAGAATTATATACTTATTTATATTTTTGTTCTTGAACAGAAAACAAATCTGAAATGCATGGTTGCTTACATCAACAGTATCAGTGTTGGTTGGCAGGTCCTGCGTGTCTGTTGGGGGATCCATGGGACCAGTATCAGTATTGGTTGAGGGATCCATGGGAGGTGCCGCAGTCTGGGGTTTGGTTAGGAGGTCCATGTCAATGAGAGGTGCCGCAGTGTAGAGCTCACCACTCACGTCTTCCCCTACCACCTCTGCTTCGGCAGTCAGCATGTCAGGATGGATGTCCTCCCTATTTTGGAAGGCCTCTAACATTGATGAGAAAGTTGACCTGCCCGTTTGGCCCAGCAAGTACTCCAGTCCAATTTTTTCTCCTATAAATATAAGTAAAAAATAATAAAAAAGTTATACACCGAAAAATTCTCCTTGTGCAGGATGTACTGATCAACCAGGTTTACACCCTACTCTTTTCAAATAGTTTCCTAGGTTCTTTAGCGTGCATGAGGTGTGATTGTCTCATACACGGGACCTCCATTCATCTTCCTATCCGAGGGACTAGCTTCTGCAGACTTAGTAATGAGACAAATCACAAGAACTTCCTATCCCTCATGGGTCGGAAGGCTGCCGTCTTTCTTGAGTTCTGCATACCGCCGTTGCCTGAACTCTTCAAATGTTTCATTTGATGTTTTGGGGCAATATATCGCCCCCCACAAGTTCTTGTGAGTTTCCCTCACCATCACCTCTTCAGATTTTGTACACTGCCTGTCATGTTTGGTTTTCGTGTACGTGCGTCGTGTTTTCCCTTCTTACTTAACCATACCATCTTTGCCGGAACTCTTCAAATGTTTCATTTAATGTTTTGGGGCAATATATCGCCCCCACAAGTTCTTGTGAGTTTCCCTCACCATCACCTCTCCACATTTTTTGCACTGCCTGTCCTGTTTGGTTTTGGTGTACGTGTATCATGTTTTCCCTTAGTACTTTACCATACCATCTTTGCCGGAACTCTTCAAATGTTTCATTTGATGTTTTGGGGCAATATATCGCCCCCCCCCCCACAAGTTCTTGTGAGTTTCCCTCACCAACACTTCTCCACATTTTCTACACTGCCTGTCCTACTTGATTTTAGTGTAGGTTCGTCTAGTTTTCCCTTCGGCTTCCTCCTCTGCCTTGATGTGGCGGTACCGAGCTGTTTGGTAATGCATGGGGGGCTGGCGGGAGGCAGGTACTGGAACCTTAGGGACTGCAAAAGAGCAGGAATGGTGAGGGTTAGGGTTGGTGGAGGCTGGAAGGACCTGTGGTGCAGGGGCAGAGGCAATGGGCTGTTGTATCTTCCTCTTCTTTGGTGTCTTTGGTGAGCATGAAGGGAAGGTTAGAGTTGCTGATTGATTTATTGGAAGCGGAAAGGCGGAAGCCTACGCAGCTTGTGGAAGAAGCAGAAAGGCAGAAGTCAACGGAGCATCTGGCAGACTGTTTCCAGGAATTCCAGAGCAATCATTCGTTTTCATTGTAGTTTCGCTGGCTTAACAGAATGGTAGAGTTAACAGATAATTAAGTTAGTATCAATGTTATCAAATTCCAAGATCATATCAGCGTATTTGTAGCGTTACGTTACCGAATGTGACGAGTAAGTCTTCAGTTTGAAACACGACGTTGAAGTAACTAGTTGGGACTACTGCGGAGCATATAGTAGTCTGTCATCTATCCAGGCTTCACAAATTGTAGATCAAAAGCATATAAGTGATAGAAATTTGTCCTTCTCAGAGTTCCTCACGAGACATATATCACTACTACGGAACATAGGCTTCACAAATATTGTAGATCAAATTATAAATCAAAAGCATATAGGTGTCCTTCTCGAACTACTCTAGCCATTTCTGACCGAAGGTCTAAGTCATTGTCCTCATTGGCTACATTAAACGGTTCGAGAGATCTCCTCAAATTTGTGCGCAAATCATCTGCCGTTCGTGATCGATGATTGACCTACGACTGTCAATGATTACCCTGATGATCCAGAAGCCGTGGGTTGGAGCAAGGGCTGGAGCGATGAATTTAATTTAATTAAATTGAATACGTCTCCAACTTGATGGCCTGTAGAGAACTAGCTGGCCTAATTAGACTCTGGAGGGAAGTAGCTGCTATTACTGTCTCAGAGATCTGTCGCTTTATTCCGTTGTGATGTGCAAGATGTACTGGTCAACCGGGTTTACACCCTACTCTTTTTCGTGAAGTTTCCTAGGTTCTTTAGGGTGCATGAGGTGTGACCGTCTCATATACGTGACCTCCATTCATCGTCCTATCCGAGGGACTAGCTTCTGCAGACATAGTAATGAGACAAATCACAAGAACTTACTGTCCCTCATGGGTTGGCAGGCTGCCGTCTTTCTTGAGTTCTGCATACCGCCGTTGCCTGAACTCTTCAAATGTTTCATTTGATGTTTTGGGGCAATATATCGCCCCCCACAAGTTCTTGTGAGTTTCCCTCACCATCACGTCTCCACATTTTCTACACTGTCTGTCATGTTTGGTTTTCATGTACGTGCATCGTGTTTTCCCATCATACTTCAGCATACCGTCTTTGCCGGAACTCTTCATATGTTCATTTGAGCTTGTTGGACAATATATCGCCCCCACAAGTTCTTGTGAGTTTCCCTCACCATCACCTCTCCACATATTCTACACTGCCTGTCCTGTTTGATTTTAGTGTAAGTTCGTCTAGTTTTCCCATCAGCTTCCTCCTCTGACTTGATGCGGCGCGGTACCGAGCTGTTTGGTAATGCATGGGGGGCTGGCGGGAGGCAGGTACTGGAATCTTAGGGACTGCATTAGTGAGAGCAGGAAGCTAGGGGTATCTACCGCGAGGGTTCTTATCGTATGGGTGGAGGCTGGAAATGATACTATTGACCAATTAAATTAATGTGATTGCTTAATTAATTTCATTATGCTTCAAAAGTGTCTGAAAAAAAACAATAAAAAAGAAATACACAAGAAATCAAAAACCAATAGAATAAATAAGAATCTAATTTAAATATCATTTTTGTAGATAATAGTTAGAATAGTTACAATATTCACAGTGGTTTTCACGGTGATCCAGCGCTCTGTCTCCAAAACCTGGGGGGGGGGGTAGCCTCCAAGCCCCCCTCCCCCCCCCCCCCCTAGTATTTACAAACCTCATATTAGCCCAGTGCAGTTAGTGTTAAAGGTAGTGTTGAGTATCTCTATTGAAACATTAAATGCATAATTTTGTATGGAAAAAGGCTATAACCAATGACTTTTTTTAAATAGCATCTTCTTGAGTTGTAACGGCTCTTTTTTTAATGATAACAGGGGTTTTACTTAGTCGTTTGTAATTGTGTATATTTTTCCAGCATGGTGAAGTTATAATTATTACTCTGTACCGTAATGGTGCAGGTTTTGGTTACTAGGGTTAAAGTTTGACCAATACTCAACTATCCCTTTAATGTGATAATTTACAAGATGACAGAAACACTCTCCACGACCACAATATGAATCATCCCTCGGACTTACCATGCCTGCAGAACCCGCTGAATAATGAATGGCAGCATGATCTGTGTTTTGTCCATTACAGTGGTATTTTTCAGGATAGTCGTTTGGACCTTGATATTAGCCTCTACGAATCTACTCCACCGGGTCTTGTTGTTGCCATCCTGCTTTGTGGAGGTCCTGAACCTGTCGCACAGCCGTTGAACCAGTGCCTCAACATACCTGTTGCAGTCTGGTTTGGCAGCAGTTATAGAGTCAGGTGCTCTGATGTGTGTTTTGTCCATTACAATGTCATTTTTCATGATTGTCGTTTGGACCTTCGTATATGCCTCTACGATCCTACTCCACCGGGTCTTGTTGTTGCCATCCTGCTTTGTGGAAGTCCTGAATCTGTCGCACAGCCGTTGAACCAGTGCCTCAACATACCTGTTGCAGTCTGGTTTGGCAGCAGTTATAGAGTCGGGTGCTCTGATGTGTGTTTTGTCAATTACAGTGGTATTTTTCAGGATAGTCGTTTGGACCTTGATATTAGCCTCTACGAATCTACTCCACCGGGTCTTGTTGTTGCCATCCTGCTTTGTGGAGGTCCTGAACCTGTCGCACAGCCGTTGAACCAGTGCACAGTGGGCCAGGGAGGAACCAAAGTGCGCCAAAACTCATGTTTGGGGACTTGTTTTTTATAAATCCAGAGGAAATGTTTGGATTTCCAGGGATTTTCGCTTAAATTTTATTACCAACATTTTCTCTGATGTCTAAGCTTTAAGTTGATACCAGATTTGGCTGCCCGATTCTGCCCGTTATTATGCTAGAGCCATTTCCCTTGCAACATTGCCCCGAAAAATGTGTTTATTTTGGTCCGCGGTGTCAGAACAAGTGTTACGCGCCCCCTCGCGCCGTGATTTATGACCATGAATCCTTCATGATTCAGCTGCGGACCCCAAAAACCCACATTTTTCGGGGCAATGTGGCAAGAAAATCGGCTCTAACATAACAACGGGCAAGATCGGGCAGCCAAATTTGGTATCAACTTGAAGCTTAGACATCAGATAAAATGGTGGTATTAAAATTTAAGCGGTACACCGTGGAGATCTAAACATTTCTTCTGGATTTATAAAAAACATGGATAATTAGTCCATTTTTCAGTGAATTACCCAATATATCATGAAGATTGTGTTTCTATTAATTTTGACCCATTCATTCAACGAAATGAACTATCATGAATATGTGAGAGCAATTTCAAATCAATAACTTAAAAACTTCATGTTGAATTAAAAGATTTTTTTAAAAAGTCACTTTTGCACTAAAACTGTGAATATGTAGGATTTTGCTGTTTGAAGTAGTAAATCTATACCCTTATTGTGCATACCGGAATTAAATATTTCACTGAGGTACTCCTCTATGTATTACCTTTCAACTGGGCAAGAAAAAAAATGAAAAAAATAAATCACCCAAATTTAGTTTTGGCGCACTTTGGTTCCTCCCTGGCCCACTGTGCAGTGCCTCAACACACCTGTTGCAGTCTGGTTTGGCAGTAGTTATAGAGTCAGGTGCTCTGATGTGTGTTTTGTCCATTACAATGTCATTTTTCATGATTGTCGTTTGGACCTTCGTATATGCCTCTACGATCCTACTCCACCGGGTCTTGTTGTTGCCAGCCTGCTTTGTGGAAGTCCTGAATCTGTCGCACAGCCGTTGAACCAGTGCCTCAACATACCTGTTGCAGTCTGGTTTGGCAGCAGTTATAGAGTCAGGTGCTCTGATGTGTGTTTTGTCAATTACAATGTCATTTTTCATGATTGTCGTTTGGACCTTCGAATATGCCTCTACGATTCTACTCCACCGGGTCTTGTTGTTGCCATCCTGCTTTGTGGAAGTCCTGAATCTGTCGCACAGCCGTTGAACCAGTGCCTCAACATACCTGTTGCAGTCTGGTTTGGCAGCAGTTATAGAGTCGGGTGCTCTGATGTGTGTTTTGTCCATTACAATGTCATTTTTCATGATTGTCGTTTGGACCTTCGTATATGCCTCTATGATTCTACTCCACCGGGTCTTGTTGTTGCCATCCTGCTTTGTGGAGGTCCTGAACCTGTCGCACAGCCGTTGAACCAGTGCCTCAACATACCTGTTGCAGTCTGGTTTGGCAGCAGTTATAGAGTCGGGTACTCTGATGTGTGTTTTGTCCATTACAATGTCATTTTTCATGATTGTCGTTTGGACCTTCGTATATGCCTCTACGATCCTACTCCACCGGGTCTTGTTGTTGCCATCCTGCTTTGTGGAAGTCCTGAATCTGTCGCACAGCCGTTGAACCAGTGCCTCAACATACCTGTTGCAGTCTGGTTTGGCAGCAGTTATCGAGTCAGGTGCTCTGTTACTACTGTAAAACACATAAAAAGAAACTTAAAGATTTAGGAGATGTGTGCAACAAAGCAAAACTCTTTTATCACTTGTTGGATGGATGTCCCCGGCCGAATGAGTATGGTTAACAGTTGTTGAGGTTTTCAATATTCTTAGAAAATTTTAATGCATTATTCATAAAAGTCAGAACTAATGACCACCTAATGTGTATGATCTCACAATTTAATGTTGCTTTAAAAGTATAAGAAGTGTAGTAGCAAACTGTATGTCATTAACTTATGAAATTTGGAATGTTTAAAAGTCTTAAACAGGTTTTTGTTGACCTCTTATGTGCATTTATTTTTAACCAAAAAGAAGGTGAAATGGTTTTAAATGATTTACCATTCCAAAGACTGCACTCCCTGATATTTGGCAGTCTTTGGGGCTCGGAACTTATGATAACCCCAAGGATTGTGGCGCTCCTGGAAGTTGGTCCGGCGCTTGTCGTTCGCAGACAGAGCACCCCACAGGCGAATGATGTCCACATGATAATCATCGAAGACAGTCCTCTATGTGCTTTACATTATTACATTCATACAATTTACCATATCAAATACAAATTACATATCAGGCTTACATTATTACATACAAATTATAGATAATTGCATTTTTACATACAAATTACAAATTAACTATTATCAAACAATGTTAAATAGGCCCTTTAAAGTGAGACAAAGTACCTGGAATAAACCTGTTAAGGTGAAGGTGGAAACTCTCCAGGGAGGTGGACCCTCTGGCGCACCTGTACGTGGGTAGAATCTTGTTGCCCTTCATGATGGAGCTGGTCCTGAGGTACAGCTGCACTCTAGAAGGATTTTGGCTGCAGGTCACATGGTGTTCCTTCTTTTCCCATATCGTTGCAATGGCATCTGCCTTCAGGGGAACGCCCAATGTGTCCTTAGCATCCTTGAAACAATCCAGGAGTTTCTTGATGAGGGCAACAGTCTCCTCGGCTCCCCGGGTGCTTCGCCTACAGGAAAGGGCCAGCTCGTGTTTGGTAATATGTCGCAAGACATCCCCTTTCCTGACACCCTTCGTCTGTAGCTCCTGGAACTTGGCCCTTTTCAAGGCCTCAATGTCATCGGCATCCCACATGAACAGGCAGCGACTCAGCTGGTTCATGAAGGTGCTCTACAGGGGATGACCCTCAGATGTGCAACCCCCTGAAAACCTCATGTAGTGCCAAATGTCCAGCCTAACGAGGACATCGTTCCACTGATGGAAGAGCTTCCTTACTTGCGTGAAGCCGCAGAAATCCCGGTCAACATACAAGGCCTCAGGATGCTGAATGCCTGCAGATCTGTATCTGGCCAATGATACCTTTATAAATAGGAAAACTGAAAAAAGTAAAAAAAACAACACATGTGCTAGTTTCATTTGTTCTGAAGTACTCAAGGGTTGATCCTCTCTTTTAGGAATTACACTGCTTGCCAGTTCAGAAAAGAATTTAATTTAAGATTGTTATGATTGTTTTTAAAGGTCTCCATGGAAGAGCCCCAAGTTATATCATTGATTTACTCAGTCTAATTCTTGTTATCATAATTCACACAGTAGTCAAGATACATTACTTAGTTCCTCCCAATAAAAACAATGAGAGTGCTTGTTTGTAACTGCAGCTCCAAAAAGTATGAAATGGTTTGCCCCTTTCTACTAACGAGGCTCCACCCTTTGACATTTTAAAATTTAATTGAAGACACGCACTTAAACATTATGTATGCCCTTGACTCTCTTCGATAGTAAAGGCCACCAGATGGAGGTTGCCGAGCTTCGCTCATTATGGATGATTGGGCATTTGCAATTGTAATGTATTTTGTATAATGTTATCTTACACTATTATAAAGAGTTAGAAAATATTTAAAAATGTAAATATTATTGTAATATTATGGTGACTGCTCTATATAAATGTGAATTATTATCATACCTTCTGTCATGGAAGCAAGAGCATGGCCTTCCCCAGAGGTGATCACAGATATCAGCACCTGCCCAACTTCGTTCCCAACATTTGTCGCCCACATGGCTGTGCCTCGGATAGGCCTCACGATCTTCTTGGTTGAGTCCATCTTCAGGATGCGGCCAAAGGTTGATGTGATTTCTGCCTTCACATCAGGCAGCCTCATCAGGACGTCCTGGAGGTAGACCTGCATCAGCCACTGGAATTTTGGAACTGGCAGCATCTTGGGTGGCTCCTCAAACAAGACAAGACGTATCAGGCCAGCTGATAATGCCTTCTTGAGTGACTGGCCGTAAGTCAGGTACAAGATGGTCTTGGACAACCACTCCTCATTGTGCTGCTCTGTGAGGATGGTCTGGACTTGGGAGCAGCTGTTTACAAGACCCCTCTCGCACAGGAGCTTGACCACCTTAAGGTCGCAGGCTTTC